TTGCATGTATAAGAGAAGGGGAAGGGTAACCGCCGGTCACCCGGTTAGGCACAGCTCATCTGGAGTTGCTGGGCACCGCCCAGTTGGCGTGGAGACTGTCGGACCATCCAGTTAGTCTGCGTCTCGACAGAAGAATATGAAAAATTCGCTGCGAATTTTCTTCATGATCAATGTGAGGTTATCATGATATGATCAGACCAAAATGTGTTTTTCTATGCGGTGCGCATTATCCAAAAGCTTTAGCGTTTCATGACACGCAGAGACTGGGCGCCGTTGCGTCTGATCAAAATAGTTCACGCATGGGAGAGACAGCAGATGGTAAGAAAAACGAAAGAGCGCTCAGTCAGAGAAACTTCGATACATCGCAGTGCAGATGAAACTCAACGAAATACTACGCTGTTTCGGAAGTTTTACCCGTTTTCGAACCTCTTTGTGACTTGGGTTCTAAGGGAGAAACTGTTTTTGTGAGAGTTGTTTATACCATATAAAAGCTTTTTCTTTCTGCTTTTTTATGCAAGCTCTCTTTTATAGCTCTATTTGATCTGAGATCCACCTGAGCGGACAACGAAGCAAATGTGAAATTTTTGCCTCTTTTTTCCTTAATGGTCTCCACAAACAGTGGAACTCTTTGAGAACAAGTGTGCTATGATGAGGACTTGCTACATAGTGCTCTTCGGAATATGTTTTCAAACATGAAAATTGTTAGCATAAACGTTGTCCTTATGAGTCGTATAAAAATTGTAAGCGCAGTGCGATTGCGAAACTTTTGCTTGGTATGGCAAGAGAGGGGTAGAACATTGTACATGAGGTAGAAAATTTGGAGAATTCTCCTTGGTTTTCAGCAGCAAAAAAATCAAAAAGTGCATTGTTTTGCCATTTTAGAGGGGAAGATTTTAGTAGATGTTTCCGAAATTCTTGCAAGAATTTTCTGTGAGAGAATTCAGTCAAATCTGATATCTGCGCTAAGTGTTGGCTATACAACGGCAGAGTTTGTGCTTTCCTACCTTAGTCCGGATTGGGTAACAGTTTCATAAAGTAGGGCTTTATAAGAAAGTTTAGCAATCATCGGGCTACAAAATCCTCATAGTTACTGCGATAATTTTTGGGTGCTTAAAACTGCCAAGATTTTGTGGATTGTAGCAGTTTACTATACTCGCAATGACTAATCTTGAAATCAACCTATGGTGAGTTGAAGCTGAAGTGGAAGAACTTATAACTTTTGAAACAAGGGGAGGGATACCAGTGGCGTCTTGTCGCCAGGCACATCATGGTACATCGATGGCCTATATCACCTTCAGTATTTTAAGAGTTTCCAAATTTGAAGATCTGGACGCTTTGCTCAGGTCATTGAAACTCAAAAAAATTGTACGCGCTGTAGTGCATGAAAAATTATTACTTTGCTTCCAAAACAACATTTTACCCCGTAACTGAACCTAAAATACTCGTAATTGATTCCATCAGTAGTGCAAAATTTCTTCTAACAAGGAAAGGATACTTAGTGACCGTGGCCTTTTGAAATGAAGCGCATACCATTAAATGCATCTTGAAGCGCTGATTCCAAATCTGTTTTCATTATCTGCTGTGCCCACTTCCGAAAGAAGTTATGAACATTTTTTTATCACCAAAATTTGCACCGTTTTTGATGCAGGATTCACCAATATCGTTAGAATGTTCGCTTATGCACTATAAAAGAGCGTACAGATGAAGTAAAGCTTCATGTTAAGTTCAGGAAAACTGTCACCAATACATCAGAGTTTAAAAAGCCTGGATACTGACGATTTTGACTGCCTAAATCTCGCAAAATGACTTCGTTCAGGGAGTCGCGCAGCAGATAATGAACATACAGTGACCGCCAAAAAGTTGCGGACAAACCCCTCTCCCTTTTCCATCGCTCTTTTTCAGAGGGAAAACAAGGATGAAAAAATGTAATAATTGCACGAGGTGATAGAGCTCTTCAAGATCTACAATCTACACTTTGAGCTTTTTCAGAAACACGTGTTTTGAAAAATTTAAGAATCCTTTTCTAAGAAAAGTCCGAAAATGGCCGCGTCACAATGACGCGGACAATAATTCTTCAAACGCAAAAATTTTTCTTTGAGTCCTATCTTGAAGCGGAAACACAGGTTATCCGACGGGTAAGCATACTACTATACAGAGCTCGTCAAGAACTACACATTGGTTATGGTGCTTCCCCAAAAAACGCAAGCTTGAGTTTTATTTTGCTTTTTTCAAAAAATAACTTCTAATTTCCTTTATCAAGCCAAATTTCTTCACACGGAAACTTGTTCAAGGCATCCCAGCAAAGCCGTCTGGGTAAAATAGATGCTCTTTGCCATCCTCTATGCATCGGACATGTGCTAATGAGTTTCTTTGCTGAAAATGGCCCTTGGCAGTGCTTGCACATAACCCTACTTGCACCTCACCAGTGACTTGTACCGCTTTGCAGGCTTGTAACTCGGCCTACAGTCAATACTTGAGCCTGCAATTAGGCTCATTCGAAAGAACGCGACTTTCTCTATACGATGGTATGCGAATGAGTTGAGTTTGAGAAATTTTAGAGATTTGGCGGATGGGGTGGTAGAGGGCAGCTTCAGTTGTAGTCTAAGCACTTTTCAGCTAAAGTTGAAGAGAGCTCTTTTCGCTATCAATTTCATCCTGGAAGTTCAAAACTGTGAATTTTCTTGTAATAGATCCATTTCGAGGCTCTAAGACTGTTCTGGTGTTCATAATAGCTTTCACTCCAATCACCTCTGAAGCTGCCCTCCACCACCCCATCCGCCAAATCTCTGAAATTTCTCAAACTCAACTCATTTGCATACCATCGTATAGAGAAAGTCGCGTTCTTTCGAATGAGCCTAATTGCAGGCTCAAATATTGACTGCAGGCCGAGTTACAAGCCTGCAACGCGGTACAAGTCAGTGGTGAGGTGCAGGTAGGGTCATGTGCAAGCACTGCCAAGGGCCATTTTCAGCAAAGAAACTCATCAGCACATGTCCGATGTATAGAGGATGGCAAAAAGCATCTATTTTATCCAGACGGCTTTGCTGGGATGTCTTGAACAAGTTTCCGTGTGAAGAAATTTGGCTTGATAAAGGAAATTAGAAGTTATTTTTTTAAAAAAAGCAAAATAAAACTCAAGCTTGCGTTTTTTGGGGAAGCAACCATAACCAATGTGTAGCTCTTGAAGAGCTCTGTATAATAGTATGCTTACCCGTCCGGATAACTTGTGTTTCCGCTTCAAATAGGACTCAAAGGAAAATTTTTGCGTTCGAAGAATTATTGTCCGTGACATTGTGACGCGGCCATTTTCGGACTTCTCTTAAAAAAGAATTCTTAAAACTTTTGAAACACATGTTTCTCAAAAAGCTCAAAGTGTAGATTGTAGATCTTGAGGAGCTCTATCACCTCATGCAATTATTACATTTTTCATCCTTGTTTTCCCTTTGAAGAAGAGCGATGAAAAAGGAGGGAGGCTTGTCCGCAACTTTTTGGCGGTCACTGTAGATCTAAAATCAGAGTTCTAACAAGGGAAGGAAGGTTGGTCGATTTGGCCTTTTGAGATGAGATCTACACTGTTTTGTAGAGCTTGGGACGCTGATTCCAAACCTACCTTTGCTATCTGCTGCGGGCTTCTGGGTGAGGAGTTATGGAGGTTTTTGTGAGTAAAAATCTGAATGCAAGAATAGGGTAAAATCAGTCGTAACCTTTTCCCAACGTTCAAATGAGGCAGCAGCGAGTTGGTACATTTGAATCAAGGCTAGTTGTTGCACCGAGTGACCTGACTACCAACTAATCCCTATAAAAATGTTGCGACTGATTTTAACCTACTCTTGCATTCAAATTTTTACTCAATTAAAAGCTTCATAACTCCTCGTCCAGAGACCCGCAGCAGATAGCGAAGGTAGGTTTGGAATCAGCGTCCCAAGCTCTACAAAACAGTGTACATCTCATTTCAAAGGCCACTTCGACCAACCTTCCTTTCCTTGTAAGACGCACCTACTGGTATACATTTCATTGCAAAAGGCCACGGTCACCAAGTATCCTTCCCTCGTAAGTGAGGACAACCAGATAATGTAATTACCAGGTGTGCCATCAAACATCTCATTTGACAATCAACACATTCATGACAATATGGCCCACCGGTGGGTCGTGCATGTTCTGCCGCTTCGGGCAATACGACCCACCGGTGGGTCGTAAGATTCCTGATGCTAGCTTTGCCAGTATACGATGGAATTCTACGTGGTTTTGGTACATTATTGGGGACACCTTGGCGAAGCTCCAGCCAGAGTGGGCTGGGTTCGGGATACTGTAAAGTAATGTTACGGTAGGTATACTAGATAGAGGTAAAGCACAGACTTTACCTCAAATGTTTCGCAGAGTGGTGCTGTTCTTGAAAATTTAAGTTTACATGCACGAGAAGTACAGGCAGGGCACGAGACTGATGCCAGCCCATCAAAAATTATCGATTTTATTATTAATTTTATTGATTTTTTGCATTGTTCATCCCAGGAAGCTCAAACTTACATATATAGGTTTTCAGCATGCTGATTACGAAAATGATAGTCTTAAGTTTTAGTGCCGCCTTCCTACATCAGTTTCTTGATTCTTACGGAAATACTACCCTATTGCTACCGTAGTCCCACTGTGGGAAAGAGTGAACAAAATGGACACTATAATTGTGATGAGCACGTGAAATAACCCAAAAACACAATTTTCCATGGAAATCCATGGTGTCGGGTTCGTACAGGATGACTACCGTCTTACCGTATACCACCAAAAACTGAAATCATATTTTGGTAACCACGTCTTCGATAACCCTTGTGGGGAAATTCATGGAGACATATTTTGAATTTCTTCTAAAAAGACTACCATTTCGGACAATACGACCCACGGGTGGTCATGAGTTTGACAAACCGGAAACGGCTCTCGTCCAAAACGGCAGTATTCGAAAAATCGGCCTTGTCGTGAATGTGTTAAGGACACCAAAGGAAGTGAAAGCTTTATTCAACTCTCATGACAACGACGTAAACTTCCAGCGAGCTGTCATTTATAGCACAAAACGTCTTCGAATTCGCTGCGGCATCATCGATATAGCTAAAATTACTTACTAACAATAAACTTCATTCTTTCCGAGTAAATTCAACGTGGTGCCTGTGCAGTGCCGGCAACGCTTGCGTGTGAAGAATGGCCACGGTACGCAAAGCTCGGAAATGTGCACTCTGTGATTATTACGCACAAATGTTGTCGACACCGCAGGGGCACTATATTGGCCGTTAATCTACTAGTATCACTTACCCACTCACACGATGAAATTTGCTTACACTTATTAGCCATTTTCCGTTGGTTTCGGTGAAATACGCCAGGAGTGAATTCTGAAAGATCATAAAACTGATAGTACAGAATTCCTGAAGTAACTGATGTATACCTCCAGATAGGCTTGTATTTCATCTATATTTTGATTGACTGCATCATTCGACAATGCCCTTGCAACAGTTTGCTTGAGCAGAGTGTTGTTACAGTACCAAACTGTAAAAGATTCAATTTTCGCAAAAATCGCTTCGATTAAATCGATTTCTGGTTTATTACTCTTTCAAAGCATTTGATTAGATCATTCTGAACAGAGAACGTTTTACCGTCAACCTGAGAAAGTTTTTGGAAGAAAGCACAGCTCGAAATGGTATTTCGAAAGCTATTATTTCTAGTGAGCCCTCATCATGATGGTAGATATCTATGCAATACCAGTAAAAGTGCGCCAATCACCCCTCCCTCCCCCTCCCCCTCCCATTTGAGCGGCTGTGATAAATTTCTGTGTGTTTTTAAAATACGCAAACACACCTTCGGGACTAATATCAGTGCTCACTGACTTGCCAAAAAGAAAGGGTATCGTGAACAGCAGGATGAACTGTGTGAGGAATCTGAAAGAAGAATGAATATTAGTCAAGAAATCAATTCACTTCAATGGCAGGATTTTTCAGAGTAGAATGAGTGAAAATTGTTTAGAACAAGTAGCACTTTGTTGCGATAATTAGTTAATTTTTCGAAATATAATTTTGCATCGCGTATACCTAGTGCTTGAGTAAAGGGCGAGTAAATTAGAAAGTATAGTAAGACGATAAATCAGAAATCGCCGCGAAAAATGCGTTCCTTTTTTTTCCAAAGTTTGTATGCAGCTGTTTTTTGTCCTACCAAGAAAGTCTTTTCATGCACTTCTAAATGGTATGCTATTATATCAGATAAGAAGTTTCACCTCATAGGAATGATCGATACGGACGAAAAAAGCTTTTACACTCGATAAGCTTAATGACTTCAAGATAAGTGATATCGATAGCTATAAAATGCAAGATGTTTTCTTGCGTCGTCAGCAGCGCTTTTCTTGAAAAAACAATCGAGATAAAGAAAAGTGATAGATATTCCACAAGAATAAAAAGTAGAAACATCTGAACATTGTTTTCTGGAGGATCTTATTGCAGTCTCTGTTGATAAGCAAAGAATTTTGAACCATGCATTTTGTTCCAACATAAATATTGTTTGGAATTTTCAAGCCATGCTGACAATGAGATGTGTCGATAGAGATGACCAGAGGTGCGATAGGGGGAGCCGGGTCCCCCAAAAGTGAAGGTGGTTTCAGCTACCACTGGCCGGCCAAAAGTGAAGGTGGTAGTGTCGGACACTCACCTCCCAAAAACGTCGACGGGGGGGGGGGGGGGGAGGGGAGGGGAGGTGCGGGGGGAGGATAGAACGGACGAACGGAGCTATCTTTCTAGGTCTAACGTCGACCCAACGGCCCTCTTTAGGGCCACAGATACGATGAATATTAAAAATATCTATAAATTTTATTTATAAAAATTTAAAATAGACGTGTTTAGTAAATGGTGTATTTGGAAGTAGAAGTTTGTTGGACTGTACGGATTTTATTAAGCAAATTATGTTATAACGTATAGCGAAGGAAGTAGGTCGATCCAGGCAGTAACGGCGGAGAACCAGAATTTTGAATATTTAAATAGTGAAAAATCATGCGAAATTTCCACTGTTATAAATCTGTTGTTTGAAGATGTCAGCAGTTGCGACTTCATAGGTTTTGAAGAGTAAATGTTGCTCTATCAGCTAGTGAAAGAATCGGGTCGATTTAAGAGATAGTCGTTGAAAACCAGAGTCCTAAAACTTTACGTCATTTTTGCGTGTTTTTTGACTTTTGAGAGTTAAACTCTTATAAATCTTGAATGTGAAAGTGTGTGATGTTGCGACTTCATAGGTTTTATAGGGTAAGGTTTGCCTTATCAGAATATGTCTTGTCCGTTCCGATCCATTGAAACACCTCCGAGATCCAGGCTCTTGAAAAAGCAGGTAAAAAACAGCTTTTTGAACTTCAACAGCTCGTAACTTCTTCAGAACTGCATGAATCATGTTGCGACTTCATAGGTTAGATTCTTCTCATCAAGAGCTTTCAGATGATATATAATATGTGGGGGTTTAGAGCCTCCTACGAATTATGCCCGGGGGGGGGGGAGACTTTTTAGGCCAAAGTCTCCCCCTCGCCCATCCAGCCAATACATTAAAATGGGCGAGGGGGAGACTTTGGCCTGAAAAGTCTCCCCCCCCCGGTCATAATTCGCAGGAGGCTCTAAACCCCCACATATTATATATCATCTGAAAGCTCTTGATGAGAAGAATCTAACCTATGAAGTCGCAACATGATTCATGCAGTTCTGAAGAAGTTACGAGCTGTTGAAGTTCAAAAAGCTGTTTTTTACCTGCTTTTTCAAGAGCCTGGATCTCGGAGGTGTTTCAATGGATCGGAACGGACAAGACATATTCTGATAAGGCAAACCTTACTCTATAAAACCTATGAAGTCGCAACATCACACACTTTCACATTCAAGATTTATAAGAGTTTAACTCTCAAAAGTCAAAAAACACGCAAAAATGGCGTAAAGTTTTAGGACTCTGGTTTTCAACGACTATCTCTTAAATCGACCCGATTCTTTCACTAGCTGATAGAGCAACATTTACTCTTCAAAACCTATGAAGTCGCAACTGCTGACATCTTCAAACAACAGATTTATAACAGTGGAAATTTCGCATGATTTTTCACTTTTCAAATATTCAAAATTCTGGTTCTCGGCCGTTACTGCCTGGATCGACCTACTTCCTTCGCTATACGTTATAACATAATTTGCTTAATAAAATCCGTACAGTTTTGCTAAGCTTTACTTCCAAATACACCATTTACTAAAAACCTTTATTTTAAATATATATGCCGCCGTATACATAAATATATGCTTTCAATAATCTTTTTTGCGTTTGTTTTGCTTATTTTCCTTCTTTGTCGTCCAGCGAAAAATTTTTTATTCCAAAAGTGAAGGTGGTCACCCCGTACCAGCTCAAAAGTGAAGGTAGGGGGAGACTTGGCTCCCCCTATCGCACCTCTGGAGATGACCAGTATGCTTAACCTTCCCTTGCGATTTTCTTAACCATAAGATGTGTTGGACCTTGGGAAGAGTTCGCGCTATTTTATCGCCTCGCGATTCTTCAAGAAGACAACTGTTACGAGTTCATTGCATGCTGATCCTCCAGCATTAGTGTTGTGGTAGTTTTTCGACATGACTAATCGTGACTAACTATCACAACCGCAATGCAAAGGATGGGCATGTAATGAACTCGTAACAGTTGTCTTTCTGGGAAATCGCGAGGTGATGAAATCGCGTGAACTCTGCCCGGGAGCTTAGGAGGCCTTATCGAACAGCATCATATTTGAAAACCTATCAAGTGATCTGAATGGCCAACTATCCCAGCTAATTCTTCAAAGAAATGTTGGATTTTGAAATATTACTCCAGCCAGGACACCAGTACTCAATTTTTCAAATCATTTTTCAAATCAAGTAAATGAGCTAGTGATATTTGTAAGTGGTCCTTCCTTGAGACAGAACATTTTTAGTGTACAGAAGAGGTGAGACGGTCAAGAGATTTCTCCGACAGCCAACACAAAACTCCAGTTCGGCGCTCTTTCTTTTCTAAAAGATACCAGATGAAGTGCTTTGGCTTACTAAATGTTCAAAGCTACCGCTCATCTAGATTGTTGAGTTTTGCTGTAAAAGTGACCGAATTACAAATTCACTATTGCTTGGAGTTTCATTGTTTTTAGACCTTCCACACTTTTTCTACAAATTTATTTTGAGGTAACATTGAGCAACACATGCTTATATTTGATATATTTTTCAGAGACTTGAATTGCGTTTGAAGAGTTATTTATTTATTTATTATCTTTGCATTTATCCCATATGATTGGGGTCTGCTACTTTTGTAAGTCTCTTCCATAATTCTTTGTCTATTGCTTGTTGTTCGTTCAACGCAAGTTCTCTTAGGTCTGCCTTGATTTTATCTATCCATCTTAATTTAGGTCTTCCTCTCCGTCTTCTATCTGGGACATCCACCGATAGTGCCAATTTCGTAATGTGTCCCTCCTCTTTTCTAGTCACATTTCCATACCATCGAAGACGCTTCTCTTGTAGCTTCTTTATGATTGGAGCCACCTTCATTGTGCTAAGTATGGTGTCGTTTGAGACGTGATCTAGCATAGTTATGCCTGCAGTCCATCTCAGCATTCTTGTTTCCATTACTCCAAGCTGTCCTTCTTCTTTTCGTGTGCACGGCCAGCATTCGCTGCCGTAAAGTGCAGTTGGTCGTATAACCGTGCGGTATCTGAGACTTAAGGTTTCGAGGAATTCGTTTATCGCAAAGCACTCCAGTGAGGCTTCTCCACTTTGCCCAGGCTGCATTTATTCTGCTGTTTATCTCGTCGTAAAGACTCCCGTCTGCGGAGATATAACTTCCCAAATATTTGAAAGAGGTGGTCTTTTTGATTTGCGTGCTTCCAATCTGAATTGTCCCGGGCGTCTGGGCTCCAAGTTCCATGTACTCGGTCTTCTTCATGTTCAGGGTCAATCCATGCTGTTGTAGCATAGTCTTCCACTTCTGTATATCGTCTTCGAGCTCCGCCCTGCTTTTGGCCATTAGGATTATATCGTCCGCGTATATGATTGTCCATGGTGGTTGACGTATGGAGTCTTTGACGATGGCATTCATAACCGTGGTGAAAAGGAGGGGAGAAAGTACGGATCCTTGGTGAACGCCGACGTTTATTTGGAATTCTTCTGATTCTCCCACAGCTGTTTGTACGTAACTGGTCGCATTTTTGTATATCATCTTAATCCAGTCTACGTATTCTTCCGGTACCGTGTACTTCCGCAGTGCCCACCATATGATGTTTTGTGACACCCTGTCAAACGCCTTTTCCAAATCCAGGAATGCCATGTGTAGCTCGCACTGCTTCTCGCTACTTCTTTCCATCATTACTCTAACAGTATGGATGGCGTCAGTCGTACTGTATCCCCTAACGAATCCACACTGGTTTGGTGCCAATTCTATGATTCTTCGGAGCCGTGTCTCTAGTACTCTTTCGAAAATCTTCAAAGTTTGGCTCATGAGTCGAATTGGACGATACATGATGCAGTCAGCTATGTCGCCTCAATTTTTCCATATCGGTATTGTTATGCTTCTGTACCAGTTGCTTGGCATTTTCTTGCACTCTACTATCTGGTTCAGAAGTCCTGTCAAATATGAGACTCCGCTCTGCCCGCATTTTTTCCAGAATTCATTGGAGATGTCGTCTGGACCTGTCGCCTTGCCGTTCTTGGTCTTTTTTATGGCGGTGCGGACTTCTTCCTCAGTAATGATCGGCACGGGTCCATACACAGGTTCATCTGCGACAGTGGATGCACAATTATGTCTAGCGCATGCCAGCTCCGCAAAATGCAAACGCCATCGTTCTTTTATTTCTTCTGGCTTAGTAAGCATTTTTCCATAAATATCCTTGACATTACAAAAATGCTCTAAGTCTTTCGCTGCATTTGCTCTTTTTCTGGCTACCTGGTAGATCTCTCTTTCACCCTCGTTACTGTTTAGCTTTTCGTACAGCTCCGCTATATATGCTTCTTTCGACTCTCTGACACTTCTCTTTGCTGCACGCTTAGCGTTCAAATATGTTTAATGGGCATCTTCTGATCTTGTCATCTGCCATCTTTTGTAAGCCATCTTTTTATTCTTTATCACAGTCTGCACTATATCATTCCACCACCAGGTTTCTTTGCCGATTATCAATCGTCCAGGTTTTGTACGGCCCAGGAGCACTTCAGCTATCTGGTGGACATTGTTCTTTAAAGTAGTCCAGGAGTGTTCCGGATCTATTTGTAGCTCCGGTAAGGCAGATTCCATGGCTGTTCTG